GCAGCGACATGACTCGCAGCAGAGAGAGGATATCTGGAGAGCAGGAGACTCAGATTGGAACTTGGAACTTCCCTCTCTCAAGGATCAGTCAGCTGATTAGTGGTGCACGCACAATACAGTCGTCTTGCCCGCTGCCTGTTGAGGATTCGGTGCATCTTCCTTGGTGAGCTTGTGTGTGTCACTTGACAAGAACACTACGAATGCACTTAGTATAGGCCTCCCGGGCCTTGGCTAGAGCTAGGCCTTAGGTCTTAGCAGCTATTCTTATAATAGTCTCAGGTAGTATATTGCAACTAGCTGATGACGACTCTATGAGTACACTGAACTCTATGAAGGAAAGAAGAGATGTGAGAGTCTAGTAGCTCGAGAGCCAATTTATTCTCACTGGTGTGCGCTGCTAGATGGTTCGACACTGTGGGTCAAGTGGGAATAGCTTTATCCAGGAGGCTTGGTGGACCGTGCTTGTACGAGAGCTGGCTGAGGGTCACCGAGGCCCAACTCGGGCCCAGCCCGTTACAATTCTAGATAGTGCGAAGTCCTATGTTCTCAGTTTTTGTTTGACAGCTTCCTGGTGGGCCTTCCAATCTAGCCTCCAATCTAGCCAGACTCTAAGGAACGGGCTAGAAGGTGTAGGCTGTATGGCGTCGAAGCCTTAGCCCTATGGGTAGGCCAGGTTGGCTGGGCTTGGCCATTGCCTTCGGCCTTGTTGAAGTAGATTAGCTCGCTCTTTTCTCCGGCAAAGACCATCCCTCTAGACTCAGCCCACTATAGACAGATCTTTCAGGCCTCTTCTAGTTGCCAGCAGTTGGCCTAAGGCTCCCGGTTTAAGGCTAAGAGGTTAGTATTATCTGTAAAGTCTACTATAGCTATCTCAAGATGCTTCTCCTTCAACGCCCTATATAGGGAAGCAATATAAAGGGTAAGAGGATCGGGGATAGTAGGGAGCTCTATAGAACCCTAGCCTTAGCTAGAGTAATAACTATACTATAGAGGCTAAATAGTAATATAAAAGTAAAAGGGCCTAGCCTCAGCTCAGGTTGGAGAGGTCTATACTAAGTGCATTCGCAGTGCCCTAGCTTATGGAGTTTCAAGCTTCTGTAGGCCTACTCCTATTGGGTATCACGGGCGGGACAGGCTGATAGTCCAATAGCAGTTGTATTCGGGCTAAGCTACAGTCTGGGCTATTCCGTCAGGTACGGGCAGGCTTGATTGTCAAGACGTAGCTCAAGGAGCTAGTCAGAACTCGCGACAGCGAGGTGCAGGATCTTCAACCCGCAGGGGGCCCCCACACGCTGGGCTCCACCCGTGGGTCCTGGCAAGCACGGCGCAATCGCCGTGACATTGGGGGTCAACCATAGGGCATTGCAAAAGACCTCCAGAAGGCCCAGAACAGGAGCCTATGGATAATGGCCGGGGTCTACGAGGCTACCCCAACCCGATACCTTAAGGCCAAGTCATAGGTTTCTCTACTAGATCTCTATTTCAACATGAGGCTGGCTGACTTCGAAGATAGGCTGTAGAAGCCTACCCTCCCAACTCCTCAGCCTTCCCAGCTAACAACAAGGCCTGTAATAGAGCCTGCAATAAAACTTCCTCTTCCAAGCTACTGGCATCCTAGCCTGCTAGTCGAGGAGGCTTGCAATAGGACCGCAACTCGCTTCTAAGGATTACAAAGAGCCGGAGAGCCAACGTAACCTCTAGCAACAGAGGAAGCTATAGAGGCTATTGCAGCCTGGAAGACCCAGGACAAAGACTCTACAGAGGCTCTCAATAAGGCTTGGAAGGCCAGGTAGGCCCAGGAGGCTACCAACTGACTATAACGGTATAAGGCCCGGAACCAGGCCCTACCTACCGTACAGCCGGCTAATCATCGGCCGAAACTCGACAGAAGGGCACTAGAAAGGTATGATGGCCTTATAAAGACCGAGAGCTCCTTACTAACCTAGGCCCAAACTGGGGCTATAGGCCTTAAAGACTTCCTTTTCTGGGCCAGGTTCCCTCGAATACCTACTCCCTACTGCGAATGCGGCTGTAGCAAGGAAACAGTAGAATACTTAGCTATATAGTGCCACCAATAATTGAAGCCAAGGACCTAGCTGGCTACAGAGATATGCTCACAGGGAGATCTATGTAGCGCTCTCGATAAGTGGGGGAACAAAGAGAGAAGGCTTGCAAGGAAAATGATTAGGTGGCTACTATGCTCTGGGAGGCTTCTGGAGTATAGGCTAGCTCGATGGCTTAGTTGGCTATCTACGCCTTTCTTTTTGCTGTAGCGGGTAGATTCAAGACTTCAGACTAGTATAGGGGAGACAGAGGTTTTTAGTCCAACCTTGCAGGCATGGTTTTCCTTTATAATTAGTGGTAGAGTGTCCGGCGAGCCCTAGGTTGGCCTAATACTTAGGAAGCACAGCTGAATAGGTCTAGTTAGCCCACCGCCTTGCCGATCTAGGCGAATAGGTACCTCGTTAATAGGCTGGTTGCTATTCAATAGAGGTAAATAGAACGAACGTGTACTGATGCTGCGATTGCTATTGTAATGACGTAACAGTAGAGATGTTTTATTGTATTCAATGTCCATAAAAGCTCAATTGACGCTCAAAATGCATCATGCCTCAGTATAAATAGTAAGGGTACTTCTTCTTCCGCTCCTGAATTCTGCTAAGAAGGCGGTGTGGAAACAGGTTCAAATTCAAACTGCATAGTAAGATTTCCCTCCACAAATAAGCTGTTGTTGTTAATGAGGAGTGTCCAGGTGCTTTGAAATCTACCGGTAGTCGACTCAAACTGTCTCTCTTTCACCTATCGGCGTTGGCAGCATTGAAGTTGAACATGAGAACTGAACTCAGCTAGCGATCCAACTTTCGTTTACAGAGGTATGTACATACATACATACCTTATCCAATGGTGGGGCAGCAAGCAATTTCAGGCTCAGAGCCGCAGCTCGACTGCAGGATCTAAAGGCCCAGGGGTAACAAAACATGGAACATTGAACCGTGAACAGTCGCAGCGACAAGAACTCTGGCCCTGGCTAGCAACAACGACCATTTTTCATTCAACGTACATATCTATGAGTTGATACCCGCAAGCCGTTCCATCACGGTTTACACCATGTCACATACTCAACAACCTTCGATCCGCGCATTCTTCCAGCCGCGGCGCCAGCCTGAGTACGCTGCCCCGCCTTCGGCTGCCCCCCCACCACGAAACAACAATATCGCGACATCGACAACATCATCGGCGCAGCCACCTGCCCCGCCACCTCACGCAACCGAAGCAAAGCCCGTCACAATACCTATAACTCTGCCGCCAAACGGTGTTCCCGTTCTGCCGTCCCCGCCGTCCCTTCCCTCGGGCGCAAGCATCGTCCCTCTCGCAGAACAGCACATCCCCGCGTTACGCCGCATCAACTCCCTCCTCCTTCCCGTGCCCTACCCAGACTCCTTCTACGCCCGAGCCCTTGACCCCTTTGCCTCGGGCCTGTTCTCGCGCGCAATCCTCTGGCAAGACTCGGATGCCGATACACCAAAACTCGTTGGCGGTCTGATCTGCCGGCTCGAACCGAACCCCTTTCTCGACGCCCAAGGTCAGCCACTGGCCCATGCTTCTCTGCCGTCGCACTCCAAAAAGCCAACCAGCTCGCCCTGCAACACGCCATACCATGCAATCTACATCCAATCCCTCGCCCTCCTCTCGCCATACCGCTCGCTCGGCCTGGCCGCCGCAGCACTCGAGCACATCATCGCGAGCGCCGCTCTCCTCCCGGCCGCGGGCTCTAGCATCGACGCCCGGACCATCTACGCACATGTCTGGACCGAAAACGAGGAAGGGCTCAAGTGGTACGAAGCGCGGGGCTTTGCACGCGAGGGCCGGGAGCCGGTGAAGGGGTACTACTTCAAGCTGCGGCCGGACACGGCGTGGGTGGTGCGCCGGCATATCGGGGACCGAAGCCCAAACCCGCTGCCGCCTAGCCGCGTGCTCGCCAACAGCAGCAGAAATACATTCGCGCCAGACACGTTCACGCCCCCGTCAACCCCAAATCCACAAGCCATCATCAGCTCCTCTGGCGTGAGGCCGACCAACGTGCTGGCCGCGGCCGTCAACCTTCCACCGATAGCATCCCAAACATCTTCACCGCCCCAGCGCAGACCCTCCGCAGCACCGTCACCAACGCCCTCGTCAGCCTCATCCCTCTCCTTCCAGAAGACCCGCCCGGAGACAGAGTGGAACGACCTCCCGGCCGACATGGTGAGCACAAGTAGGAGCACCAGTCAGTCGCAGCTCCTCTCTCCGCCCGGTGAGAGGAGCGCCGGCCCAGCGTCCAGGGCGAGTTCTCGGAGCAGCTCGACGGCGAGGAAGAAGAAGGAGAGGGCTTATCCTTCTGCTGCGTTCGGAGGCCAATGATGCTTTTGCTGTTGGACATTCGTTGGGTGCCCATTCGTGATGGTCGAATGTTGACTGGGATAGATGAATTGCATAGCATCGAGGTTGGGTTCTTCTTGACTGTCGGGTATCCTAGACATTCCGTATACCTGGACGATGAAATATAATGAGGCAATAATACACTGTCACACATGAATGATCAACCGCATTTAACCATCAACGCCATCAAATTTCGCTGAGTTTCTCAGGCCCGGTTGCCACTAGCTACCTGCCCGAGGTGCCTTGGCTGGTTCCCAGGCCCGGGAGCTACCAAGAACAAGTGAACGCTAGCTGACCCAGAACTCATTCCTGTCTCCCCAAAATACTCGTGAATAGATCGAATCCAGCCCGAAAGTCTCGTCTAAACCCGATCAGGTGAGAACAGACCACGCGTGGAGAAAGCAGTCCCAATCCTAACTTCGTGGGCAATATTGTCCCAAACAACCCGCAGTGAAAGATCTGGCAATGTGCCACGGCATCCTATCACTCGCGGGGGAGCTGCTACCAAAGGAAATACCAGTAGCTGCTCAACCGCAGGAAGCCGCCGCCTTGACAAGCCCCAGGGACCCATCACACGACGCTAGAGCACCCGCCACTCCTCTTTGCAGGAGTAGGCCACCGCCAGATGCCTAATCAGAAGTGGCTTTCTCGTCGTCCACCGAAGCAGCCGCCTGAGCCTTTGCGGTAGAACGAAGCTCGCCCAAGATCTCCTCGGCATCGGTGGTGTTCTTCTCCATGCCCGCGGCCACCAGCGCGATGAGGGCAGCACCGACGCCTGAGCCGTCCTCGGCAAGGCCGATGCGGATGCGTTTGGCGCCCTCCTTTCCGATGCCGTCGACGATGCTCAGCGCCTCGTGAATCATCTCCCGGAAGTACGGATAGTGCTCGACCAGGCTGCCGTCGACACCCACGTCGATGGGCTCGTCCTTGTGCGCCGGGTCGTTGAGCTTGCCTGTTTGCAGCACGATAGCAGCAATGGCAACGGCCGCGAGGCGAGCAGCACGGCGGCCAATGGCGTCGGCGACGGACTTGATCGCTTGCGCATCCTCGTACGCGGCGGCGTGAATTTGCAGGTTGTCATCGAGACCCTTGCGGAGGAGGGTGAGCGCCGGCGTGTGGTCGCCGGCAGCGACCGACAGGATGGAGCTGTCCACTCCCCATTGCTGGAAGATGCTCGATGTCTCGGCAATGTCGGTTGTTGACCTCAGGTCGTTGGTGCTTGAGTTATCGTCCTTCAAGAAGGAGACGTCGGGATTCTTCAGCAGATCGAGGATAACCAACCGCAGAATTTCTCCGAGGAACATGCCCGAGACTCGCTTCTCGTACATCTGGAAGCCCGGGTTCACGCTCTGTTTGTCTAGAACGACATCCCAAGGCGTGTTGGGGAGGACATTGAGCTGGTTGTCGAACGAGCCCCATTCCGTGTTGATCACCATCTCCCCGGTAGAGGTATCGTACTCGCCCACCATCGGCTTCTTTACGTTGGACAGCTTCTCGACATAAGCGCCGTTGGTCCCAGTGCCGAAGATGGCACCCAGCACCGCGCCGTGGCTGCCCGGCGCCCCGTACGAATGGGCCATGAGTGTGCCGACGGTGTCGTTGACAAGAGCAGCCACCTTCACGGGAAGATGAAGCTTGTCAATCTCTTGCTGCAGAAGAGCACACACGTCCTTTCCGACCGCGTCTTGGATATCAAAGCCCTTTGTCCATCTTATCAAAGTGCCCTTGTTGATCCCCATTTGCTGCACGGGGAAGCTGAAGGTGAAACCCATGCGGAAGACGTTTTCATCCTTGTAACCCTCGGGCGAGCTCACAGTCATCCGGCGTCTGATGTGCGCTTCAAAGTGATCGCCATGGTGTTTCTCGAGAAACTTCTTGATCTGCAGGGCGAGAAAGGCGAACAGTTCTTCGGCCGTCTTCGCGACCATCAGCGCCTTCGGCACCGCAACCTTGTCGGAGGTAATGTTAAATGTGCCATCGCCATTGAGCTTTACCGAGCAAACTCGGAAGTTGGTACCACCGAGGTCAACAGCCATATACAGGCCCTGTGGGGTGCCGAGGGTCAGCTTTACGAGTAATGGATCCTGTCGTCCTTGTCGGAACCAACCTTTTCGGTACCGTTGGGAACCCCCGTGACATAGGTGGGAATCTGGCTCAAGCTTGTCCCGTCCTTCTCCAGGCCCTCGGCTTTGAGGTGGTCTTAGTAAGAGCCAGGCAGACGGGGGTGGCAGCTACAACGTAGCACATACCCATCTGGCGGAGGAATTCTTTGACGCCCTTGTTGACATCATCGTCCGTGTATTCGAACTGGTTGACAATTGACTGGGTCTCGGCTGCGAGGGCCATGGCGGGCGGCTTGGTGGCGGAAGCCGAAGTTGAGAATGGATGCGGGTTTTGACAGATCCCCGAGTCTTGGTCAGGCGCTGCTGGCGGCGAGTGGGCGGCCTTTGGGAGAAAAGAATGGGTGGTTAAGGAGGAAGAATAAAGGTGAGCTGTTTGACGGAGAAAGACCTGCAAGTCTGAGTTAATAAAAGATAAGAGAGCTTTTTTCGTCGAGCCTGAAGTTCAAAGAAAGCTGCTGTAGGTATCCGCAGAAGGAACCTCCGGGACTGTTGGTGGGGAATGGAGGGGCATTCTGGCGACGGCACAAACGATTGTTATTGCGGGGCAGCTCCTCCCAACCAGTGTCCTGTCCCATGCATAATCCGGTTCGAGATTTGACTTACCGAGGCGACAAGGAGAAAGGTCACGAAACGAAGCTGAATCAGGCTGCAAGAGGCAAAAATGCGATAGTTGAGTGGTTCGCAATTCTGGTTCCTGGGAGCCCCCAAACTCTTTGAAGCCCGGCGCGCTGGCGCCGGGGAGCTTGAAAGATGACGTCTTGCCGACTCCAGGGAGATTGACTCTTGGGGGTTAGCTTGAGACTGGAGTGGGCTGTGTGGGGTGCCTCCGTGCTTTCCAGCCGAGTACAAACGGCCCGGATTTGAGTGTCGGTGCCCAATAGAATGAATGTGGGCCAACTCAGTCGTCTCCGCTGCGGCCTCGGAGCTGTTGAGTTCCTGAAATTCCCTCTTAGTAAGGACCCGGCACGTCGCGAGGTGAAAACCGTGCGGAATGAGATGGCGCGAATGTGCCAGAGTTGGCGAAATACTGTACCTACTCTGCAAGCACTGATGGCTTGGCAGACCACTCCAAGCTCACCAGGGAGCTTGAGGATTTGGACGTGAGATGGACGTTTGTGTCCGTGCACCGAAAACCGAGTCTTCAGCAGTGCTGGCTCGATACTTGCGTGCATCAGCTGGAGGTCATCCACAGCTTCCCTCTTCCTGCGGGCTATTGCTCAACGCCGGGAATTGCGTTCTCGATTGGGGATTCGCTATTTGACCAATACGAAAGCCACCAGATGCGGGATGGCAGGGCCCAGACGACGCCGCCTCTACGAACGGAGAACGGGTGATGCGAGGAAGTCCGCTCTCTTGATCAACGTTTGTCTTCAACCGGCGCTGAGGCCTTCAATGACTCGGAACGGGATTAGGTCATATCACCATAGGCAAACATTAAGACATAAGTCCGTAGGAACAGTAACCGCGCGGCGACAAGAGCACTCTCGCTAATACACAGGCAAGACAGAAAGAGACAAAAAGATCAAGGTCGAGGGGAGAACCGGCCCCTAAATACAAATTTGGGTGTGGGGGTCAAGTAAATACTACCTTAACCCCACAACAATTCACAACTCAACACCGGATTTGAGCACTGGAAAGTAACGTTCTGGCAAGAACGTACGGAGTATCCGGTCGATTAAAGGCTTGAACCTTCTTGAGAGCGACGTGACAAATGATTGTTTTATAACTTCAGGTGTAGAAGCAGTGCACTGTTGTCTCTTAACCCTCTTCCCGGAACGAGCTGTTTGAGGAGTCAAGAGAACTGAAGACATCGACGTCCATTAACACAATGTCTACAGGCTGTCGCCATCTAGCCAAAGAGTCTCACAGCCCCATGAAGATTACAGGATGTTGATAGCCTACTCATATGCCGCTGTTCTATCTGTTCACCATCTCTCTTCCGGTGTAGGATGTGTAAACAAATCAGCATGAATGAAGAAGTAACAGCGGAAGAGGAACAGATAGAGCCTTTATTCAAGCAAATACTTATATTTACTCTTCAACTACCGCTCAAGTTTGTCGCCTTCCCGCAATCTTTTCTTCTTTTCTGGCGTCGAACCTTGGTGTTTTACTCCGTACGCCCTGAACCTCGGGACCCGCCAAGCCCGGATGGGGCGAAAGGCCAGGTTCCGGTCCACCAGCTCGGCCCCACGGCTCGGCCCCACACTGGGGTTCAAATCCGAACTCTCAGCGGAACTTCAGCCGCGCCCAACCCTCTGAACCAATGCTGCCCACAAGTCAAAGCGCCAAGCCAAGGCTTGGCTCAACGCAAGTCAAAGCAAGTCAAATCGACCCCAAAATTTGGTCAAGGCAAGTCAAGTCGAAGGCCGCTCGACTTGACTGATTTGAGGTCAGAATTAACTACCTTTAAAGCTATTCCCAGTATCTCTAGCACTCCAGGAACGCCAACTTGAGGGTTTTTCTAGTGTTGCGGTTGATGTGGGCTCAAAAACAGGGGGCAAGTGTCCATAACCCGGCTGGCCCAGGTGGGTCATCGGGCCGGAAAAAC